TAATCACGGGGTTTTTGCATGTGCATTTGGGGCTGTCAAAACAGACTGATGATGAAAAGCAAAATCAATAAGCATCAAATTATTAAGCTATCTGCTGGTATAGATAATTCATTTTTCATGCACAAAGCAAGCCAGAGCTTAGCAGAGTAGAGACACAAGTTCAACATGGGTTCTTTTTTTTTTTTTGGTAAAAATCATCAGTCATAATCCAAATTACAGTATTTACCCACCGAGCAGTGAGAAGGTTTCTCTCTGCAGTTACAACTAAACAACACAGCGTGTGTAAAAACATAACTTCTGTGTTTTCATTTCATGTTTGGAGGTGGAAAATCCTCTTTAGTGATTGGTGGAGACACGTTTCTGCTCTGAGGGGAGTGGACTGGGTGGGAGGGGTCAGGCGGGCCGTTAGTCTGAGCAAGGCACTATGGGTCGGTGGCCCTGTTTGCTTTGCCACCCCTGACCTGCAACGCTCCCATCCAACCACTAGAGGGCAGTCCAAACCACATCACGCCAGACATAGAGGAGGATTCCTGATTATCTTCAAAGGGGGGGCAGAAGGGTTTCAGATTCATGACAAAAGGGTGTTTGGGTTTTTGTTGTTGAAAACTTGTCCTTGGACTTATCATCACCATTTTGCTTTTTGCAAGGATGCTGAGAACTTGCGCTTCAGTCAGAGTAGATAAAAGGTAGGTAGGTAGCTCTTCTTCCTCCTCGTCCTCTTTATCCTCCAACCACAAAGCATCAGGCCGCCTCCCTGAGACAAAAAGTTACAATCTAGATTTCATGTCTGTTTAATAGTTCTTATGGCACACAGGATTGTCCCAGTCCAGCTTTTTTTTCTTTTCCTTTGCAGAGCGGGGGGGCTCCTCTTTAAAACTTTTTAACCAGCCCAGACATCAGTGTCCTGATCAGCCAAAACAGACCCAATCCATGGCATTGACAGAAAATAAAGGTCATCTCTTGATATTCACAGTAGAAAAAATATACATACAAAACAAAAAAAAAATCAGAACAGAGAAACAGACAAATCAACCGACAACGACTGGAGGAGACGTGGGAGCTAACTGTTTTGACCACAAAGAAACAGATCGACAGACTGAAGAAGAAGAAGAAGAGTAGGGCTTTCTGCCAGACAACAGGTTCAGTCTAGATGTGATTTTTTTTTTTTTTTTTTTTTTTTTTTTGTTAAAAAGCATGAGGGTCCAGGGCTGAGCCGTGGCTGCATGTAGGTGATCACAGATATGCACAGAGAGTCAAGAGACGCTCTTTTTTTGACTCATGCTAATGTCACATCCCCAGAAACCAGTACAGCCACTACAACATACAGTCCAGATGATTGGTGTATGCAGAAAAGGGGAACACACACACACACACAACAAAGCTTTGCTGCTTCTTCCAGTGCCCAGGGGAGGCCTCTTGTGAGTAATTTTATAAACTGTATAGCAACTATGAGAAGGATAGTGTCGATAAAGTCAATTTACAGCCTCATGTTCCACATTTAATAAGTGCTGAGGGTAAAAATCATGAGGAGAGGGATACTAAGCATATCCCTAGACTCTACACAGATGACTGCAGCTTTACACTCAAGACATTTAACAACAGAAAAGGGCAAAAAAATGATGCTCCCAACAATATCCACATACTGCAGGGGTCGATGGCAGCTTCCCCCGGGACACAAGAAGAAGAGAAAACTGAGAGGAGGCAGAGGGAGTTAATACACCACAGGGGGGAAAGGAATTCATCAGCAGTGTTGGTAATGTTAGAGAAAGTGATATTATTTGACTTTATGGGATACTGAGAGACTGACGGGGATGATTTTAGGCTCTTTAGACTGATTCCTCCATATGCACTGAGGTAGACTCTGGCCAAAACACAAAGACGACGACAATTACTTACTCACTAACTAACTAAATAACTAACTAACTCCTGCTGCTCGTCACCAGCTACTCCACCTGTACAATAACAAACTAGGCTTTTACATCGCTCCACTCTCAAAAACGCTCCACTAAAAAGCTAACTGTGTTCTTCTTATACAATGACAATGATCATAATAAAATAAATATCTGGTATTTCAAAGATATGGGCACCATCTTAATTAAAAATTGCATATGCGTGTGAACACCACCACAAGATAAGCAACCTAGGTCGAGGTGGAGATGAGAGCCGTGTCCCGATTCCATACTACATACTAACTCTAACTGGGTTTTGAGTATGTAGTGTGTTCGTACTGGGAAATTAAGTACACTCAAAGATGTACTGCCAAAACAGTTTAGTATTAAGATAACAATTTCGTTTTAGTACATAGTGTGGAACTGCGACACAGCTGAGGTCCACCGTTTTTCTGTCATGTACGCAAAACTGACGGGCTTCAGATTTTTTTTTTTTTTTTTTTTTTAATATACCTTTTTTCTGCTTTTATTTTCCAAACTATGTCACAGATTATTTACAAAGTACAAAAGCCCAAGATTGTAGTTCCTCTGTATAATTAGCTAAAATCTACATCATAACCTCGGGCACCTCTGAGTGCACGACAGCACAGACTCTGGCCAATCCACAGTGTCACCGCCAAAGCACGAGGTGAACGTCAGCGTTCAAACCTTACGCTGGCAACAAGCTGAAACCAAAAATATAAAATAATAATAAAAAAAACCCTGCCCCATAGACTTCTGCTTCTCCAGCTAAGAACAAAGTTGTAACCTTACAAACACAAATGTAGATGCAGCTTCGATTTCTACGCCTCTCCTGCCTCATGTGAAGAAATACAGAGAGAGCACAGAGGCCTGTGTATGTGTGTGTGTGTGTGTGTGAGTGTGTGTGTTACTAGCCGATGTAACTAGCCTGGACGTGGCTCTGGGTTTGAGAAGGCACTGGTAAAATATGGAGGCAGCTTCTCTGCTTTCTCTGACTCTGATTCTGTGGGTTCTGGTTGTTGACAGAAAGCTGCCAACACTTTGGCTATACTATAAGTGCTGAATGCTGTTCGGCTGGATTGGCAACCACACCGGTCTGTGTGTCCAGAAAAATTAAAAAAAAAAAAAAAAAAGTCTGCTCACAATCACCTCCCACGTCACTGACTGCACTGAGAGAGGAGCGGAGGATCTGCTGTGAAACTCTGACGGCCTTTGGGTTCTGAGTGAAGGTCAGAGTGAATTAATGATCTTAAGAGACACGACGAGATGTCGGCAATGAGGACGACTAACTTCTCTGTAGCTTTGTGTGACGGTTCGGTCGACAGGAATGTTTCTGATTCCCGGCAGGAGGGACAAACTTCAAATATTCAATTTCTAAGTAGGAAAAACAAAGTCTTTCATGTGTGCTGTGAATCTGATGGGGTGTGGTGATGGTATCAGCTTTGCCAGCAGGCAGGCAAAACAGAGGGTGGGTGGGGTTGGAGGGGGGGTGGAGGGGGGGTGGAGGGGGGGTGAGGGAACGAGCAGTTCCAACTAAATCCTGGAATGTCAGACCTGAGTGAAATAGCTGCTGCACACCGTGTCCTGGCCGCCTAACTGCATGTGATAGCAGAGAGAATAATAGGATTAGCAAATCACTCACACACTCTCAGAGAGACACAGAGAGAGAGACTGCCCCTCTCTCCACTACCTGCTGCGGACTCTGAACACAGTTGGAACTTTCCGCATTTCTCTCCAGCCCCTCAACCACAAAACGTGGAAATTTCCAACAGCCCTGATTTTGAGCAGTGACTTGGTCAGCCAATTGGAAGCCTCGGGAAGAGTGAGGAGGCAGAGAGCGTGCGGGTGGTGTGTGTGGTGCAGAGCGAACCCAACTGAATGACAGTGACTACGTTTACATGCACAAACTACTCTGATTTTTGCCCTTATTCTCATTCATTTTCCTCAACCGCTTATCCCGGTGGTGGGATGCGGGGGGGCTGGAGCCTATCCCAGCTGACACTGGGCGAGACACCTTGGACAGGTCGCCAGACTATTACAGGGCTGACACATAGACAGACAGCCATTAATGCTCACATTCACACCAGGTACAATTTAGAGTCACCAATTAACCTGCATGTCTTTGGACTGTGGGAGGAAGCCGGAGTACCCGGAGAAAACCCACGCTGACACGGGGAGAACATGCAAACTCCAAACAGAAGGGTTTGAACCACGAAACCTCTTGCTGTGAGGCGACAATGCTAACGACCAGTTTTCATAATGTTTAAAAGTAGGTGTGTTTTTCCTTTGGAACGGAAATGTGGGATTTACTTTTGGGCATGCACCTCTACTTCACAGCCATGCAAATTGTTGGTTTGTGTACAACACACAGAAGCTGTGTGTTGTAAACTGCAGTAAAAATCCCAATTGTGATGCATATTCTGAATACACTGCATACATGTCCAAAGAATGCTCCTAAAACCTGAATTATACCAGCATATCCCGCGTCTTTAACCGGAATATGCTACCCATATCCAAATGGGATATGCTGTTCACATGACCACATCAAATTTAGAATACTGTCTTATTCTGAAAAAATAAGGGCATGTTAGTGTGCAAGTAAACGTAGTCAGTGTGATGGGACCGCAATGTGTGAGTTTAATAGAACCTTCCTTCTAACACTGAGGTCCTGACCTGTGCCAGATCTCAGGTCAGATGAAGAGAATGCTACCGCTCTCTGATGTAAATCATGAGGGTGTTTAGTGCTGGTCATAAAACAGACAAAAAAATAAGTTAAAAAAAAGAGGTCCTCATTGTTCCACTTCACCTGCACTCGGCCGATAGCTGTTGTTAATTCCCCTCCCTGCCCTGATCCGAGCAGCACCGACACAACTGAAAAGCCATCGCTGTTACGCCAACATAAGGAAGTACAATCACCGGGCGAAGCTCTCCACGCTCTCTAACTTCACAACGATATAATAAACCTGTGATAACAAACACTAACAGACCTCAGCTCCAGCGTGATCTGACCAGAGAGACAGCAGACACGGAGACAAACACATCAGGCGCACTTCCACCTAGAAAGACCTCATTCCCCTTTTATAAAGCTCGTTTTTTTTTTTTTTTTGGTTATTTCATTTTTTGTTTTGTTGTAGTAGTAAAGTTGCCTCTAAATATTGACAGCTCTCAGTGGGAACAAGGTTTATAAAAAAAATGATGCAGTGAGTTGACAATATTTCGGGGCTTCCTCCTTTCCCAACCGCATGGAGCGAGAGTACTCACGGGGGACAGGAGGCCTAAGACACAGAGAGCACTGATGGTAGATTAGTGTGATTTCTGGGGCTATAAAAATAAGAGAATTAAAAATAAAAAACCCAGAAAGAAAAACCCGGCAAAACAAAACGCTAGCAAAGCTTCTGATGAAAAATATTACAAATATGAACTATTTACAAAAAACATCAATATGTCATATATTATATATAAAATACTGGCACATAAATGCCAATATTCCATATATACTATATATATTATATATATTTATATATTTCTATACCCACTAAAATATATCAAAGCAGCAGCTATTGGTCAGTCTGAGGAACTCTTTTGTCCAATTCTTAACTGTTTAAATATCCTTCAGCCATATAGTGAGGACACAGAAAAAAAACTGAGAAAGAGAAGAGGAAAAGAGGAGAGAAAATACAATAAAAGCAAATAAATTAAAACTATTCACCAAACACCCGATGAATCTGTGTGTAGTTTGGAATTCTGCAGAACAAAAACAAAATGAAAACAAAAAGAAAACATTCCTCTAGGAATAAATGTTTGTTCTAGGATCAAGTCTTTGAAAGTCATCCCACCGTTCCAAACTGATTAAGTCATTGTTCAAAAAAGGAAATTAGTGTAAGCGCTGATAGACACTTCTCTTTGTTTATAGGCCACATACAAAAAGGCCACTATCTGAGTAACAAGATTTCACTTGGAGAGAAAACAAAGCACAGAAATGTGGAAATGCAGATTGGTGGGGAGAGAAGGAGGGACAAGTCTTGAGGAGATTGAGCAAAAGCAGCCTTCTTGGTTGTCTAAGGTTTGTTGTGTTCACAGTTTTTTTTTTATCTGTGTTTCCGTCACGAGGAGTCCTGGAAACGTGGCAATAGTGAAAAAAAAAAAAAAAACAATAGATAGGTAATATGGTAATAGAAAGTCCGATGTGTTGTGGAGGAAGTTAAAAAAGTGTTACACCATGTTTGCATCTCTTGCTTGCCTGTGTGCGGCAGCCATGAGGAAGAAAATAAAAAGTCCTGAGATCTGTGTGTCTTTTTTTTTTTTTGAAGGGCTTCTCCAAGAATAAGAAAATCATTAGAAAATGATGAAAGGAACATGATACAGAAGAAAATGGACTGGAAGAGAAAGAAGGATGGGAAGGGCGGGTTAAACGAGTTCTTTTTAGGAAACAGGAAATGTTAGGAAGGGCTGGATCTGGGCAACGATAAGATTCGTCCGTTTTTCTTGCCACCATTCATGTGTGTGTAGGGGACATGTTCCTCATAGTTCCCCCTGAGGGCCACCGAGGGCCCGCTGTCCCTGCCTAAGCTCTCCTCTCTCTGGGAGTATGACGACGGGTCCAGTGGGATGCTCTCCATGTTGTCCAGGTCCAGGTCGTACTCCTCTGTCTCTGGGACTTTGTTCTCCTCGCTGTAGAAGAAGGAGACCTCCTGGAACGACGGGTGCAGGTCCTCCCGCAGCATCTCGATGATCTCGTGGAACATCGGCCGCATCTTGGGGTTGTACTGCCAGCACATCTGCATTAGGTTGTGCCTGGGGGAGGGGATGAAGAGACACAGAGCTTTAAACCTTTACTACAGACCTCGGGTCTTACCCAAATAATTCATTCATTTCCTTTAATTAAGCATTCACCTCCCTGGGACAGCTCAAAAATAGAGGTATAGGAGACTTACTGAAAACTTTTCCAGACACAGACTAGGCCCCTTGAGACATAATGTGTAGCTTTTGATGCAACATAAAGGTATATAGACATTTCAGATAGTGATACAAGTGTACAGGGCACAGTAGCAATCTTCGCAGCAGGGAGCATTGGGAAACTACCTCAGGTTTACTGTTTGACACTATATTGCTGTTGTCTGATGCAAGAGGTTTAAAATGTTTTTTTTCTCTCAAGTACAAAGTATGTATCTGCTGAAGAAGCATCCTGAAAAATGTTACAGAGATCAAATTATCTCCTGTGTGCTGAACCGATCAGTATAGTATATAAAGTACAGTGGAAACCTCTCAGGTCCCTCACACACCAAGCCCACCATCGGACATTCGTCAATGTGGGGCCGTTTGTGAGTGTATGTCGCCCTAGTTTTGGTGGTGTATATGATGGTGTCCCCCAGAGAACACATTATCCAGACAAGATATAGCTCGAGGTGCCCAAAGGTGCCTGATTGACTGAATTTACTCACATCCTTTCGGGGCAGTTCTCCGGCCGGTCCAGGTATCCTCCATCCATGACAAACTTTAGAACCTGTTCGTTGGATAAACCCTGGTAAGGCTGCTCCGCTAGCGTGCTGATCTCCCACAGCACAACGCCAAACGACCTGCAAGACACACACACACACAACCACGTGTGATCGAAGGCACCAGTAATGTGATCAGGAACGTGAGGACAACACAACAGCTGCTGATGCTCACCAGCAGTCAGAGTGGGCAGTGAAGACTCCGTCCTTCAGAGACTCTGGAGCCATCCACCTGACGGGAAGCAGGCCCTTCCCTCCTTTACGGTAGTAGTCAGTCTCATAGATGTCTCGGGTCATACCAAAGTCTATGAGAAAGAGGCGAGAGAGAGCTCAGTACACCTTAACTGCACACCATAACACAGAAGTAACTGAGATGAACTGGAGCTAAACAAAAACAAGCCACAGTACCGCCAATCTTGACGGTGAAGTCCTCCGCCACCATGCAGTTCCTGGCTGCCAGGTCTCTGTGGACAAACTTCTTGGCGTTGAGGTAGGCCATGCCGTCTGCAATTTCTGCAGCCATCTGGATCATCTCCTTCAGTGTAGGTGGTGGACGGCCTGTGGGGTTGTTCTACAAAACCGCACACAAAAATACAGTCAGTGATGTGTTTAAATATCAGAGCTGAGCCTCCCTCAGCTGTAATGACTACCTCCACCTCAGGAGACAGGGCATCTGTGACACATACCTCAGAGTCCGGCCTGAGACTGCGCAGGTAGCTCTTCAGGTCACCGTGGGTCATCAGCTCCATCACGACTAGAGTGGGCTGACCTTTGGACACCACACCTAAAAGTCGCACCTACACAGAGAAACATAAAAAGAACACACATGGTCATACACACTTCAATAATTCACCTCAGTGCAGTTAAAATATCTTCAACAATTTCACCTTTAAGAGAAACATCCCTGCTGTTAACAGAGCAGACAGGATAACACATTTATAAAATGTTGCCACTATGTCGACTCACTCGTCATCTGTGGGTAAATAATAAAAACTCCCCCCCCTGCACACGTCTCAACATGATTTTTAAAGCTGACAGCACAACATATGGCGATTTAATTGGTGCTTAGTAGGCTGTTTAATGAAATAATATCGGTAGGCACAATTGCTTACCAAGTGTGAACATTTGTTTTCGGAGTCACACTGTGTGTCAATATGGCAGCATCAACACAACAAGCGAGTCATGATTCTGTGAGTCATACATGTTCACGCTGGTTTCGGCAACATGACTGAAAGCTGTAATGTACTGTAATTCACAAGTGTATGGATAGCTGCTCCGCTGTGCCTGTTAGTGATGAGGCTGTGAGAGGAAACGCTTTGAAAGGGCATTTTGCAGTGTCGTACCACGTGGTGACAGCTGAAAGCCTTCATGACGGAGGCTTCGTTGAGGAACTCGATCCTCTCTCGCAGGCTGGCCGATTCGTTGACCGTCTTGACGGCCACGCGCGTGTCCGGGTCTCCTTTGATGATGTCCTTGGCGATTCCCTCATACACCATGCCGAAGGAGCCCTGACCCAGCTCTCTGAGCACCGTGATCTTGTCCCGGGGCACCTCCCACTCATCAGGAACATACACTACACACAACAAATTTACATTTAGATTAAAAGAGACATTTACAAATAGTCATGAGGTGCTGCTTGTCTTTGTAAATACAGAGCTAAAGCACAATGTGTTCCCAATCTTAGCTGTTATTTTATGAAGCTCTTACCATCATTGGTGCTGATGTACTCAGGGTTTGATGAGGCGATAAGAGGTCCTGTCGGCCCTTCTGTTTGTCTGTAACACAACCAAAAAAGCATCTGAGACGCTGCACAGTGTAATAAGACGACCTTCGTCAAATCCCACTACAAGTTTATAAAGAAAATAAGCAGCATTCCCTCTTTGATGTCATTTGGTGTAATCTGCTCAGTTTATGTATCCATCAGGGTGGATTATCCTGATAGACAGTCAAAGATCTTACCTCTTCTTAAAGATCACAAAGACTCCACCTCCCACGAACAGCAACAAGATGAAGCAGATGACTGGACCCATCACAATCCAAATTAAACCTTGATCCGCTGTAATAAACACAGACAGGCAACGGTCAGTTCAACAATTATGAAAGCAGTTTATGAACCTCCAGAAACAGGTGAATGATGCATGGCATGCAAGTTCAGTTCAAGTCAGACATGTAGCGTCCAGTCTTACGATTGGGCATGAAGAAGTAAGTGGTTTCTGTAAAGGAGCCATTTCCCGCCAAGGAGGTGGCGCGGACCCTCACGCTGTAGTTACCAGGTTGCACAAGCGAAAGCTTCGTGCCACCAAACTTGAGGTAGGCTGGCCGTGACACACACGCTGTGTGAACCTGGAACAAAAACAAAAACACTTGAACACGAGAGATCATGACGAATAATGATAAGTATGTAGAGCGTACAGAAACATGTTCTAAACTGATTCATGCTTTTATAAACGCTCAAAATTGCACTAGAAACTTAACTTTGGTTAAAAATTAGAAAATGAGAGAAAGCCTCTAAAGAAAGAGCTATGTGGCATTCAACGTCCTGAGTAAAGACAATATCAAGAGCCAGAGTCTACAACATGCAAGCACATCAGTGATAGTGCATTATCTAACTGGGTTTACTCATAATTAAAAAACAATAATGTACTGGTGAGTGTGTAAAAACTGGAAACATTCTGGATCACAGTTAACACCAGTACAAAGGCAGCAACACACATAAAATAAGAACTAAGTCCATGAGTGTTTCGTCACGATGCATGATTGGAGGTATACCTACACGCCTACCTCAGGATGCCACAATATAAATGTATACTATGAATTTTAAGCCTGGTTCAGACTTGAGGGGTTTGATATCCAAACTGACTTTGAAATCGGGTTGCATCACACACATAAGGAGAAATTTCAGCATGAATGCACCACCTCACGTGATCTCATGGGAAGCTGATTTAAGCAAAACGTAGTATGACGTGGTGCGACAACTTGCTGCAATGTGAATGATGCTTTGCAGTTAGAAAAACAAAAGCAAAAAACAAAATAAGTCTGGATGAGAAAATGGTTGGGGAGACGCAGTCAGCTTTTATTGTCAACTTTTTAGCGAGAACTGGAGGTGAGATTTAATATCTGTCAAGTCGTATGCTAGCCAACGTTAGCGTCAAGGGCTACAATTAGCAAAAACGTTAGCAGCTCCATACTGACGTAATCATAATTGTAATCATCCAGATTTTAAATCTTGAATATCAAACACATTTAATGTGATTGCAGGAGCCGTGATGATCCTGCGATCAGCTTGAGAGGTTCAAGACTGGATGTGTAAACCTGTCACACTACCAGATAATCTAGGCCGAACATCTGTATTGTTTATAGTCCCAGAATGCTTTCTCTTCCGACTGTCAGGAGGGGTGAATCGAGGATAAATCAGCCCAAAGCTCCTGCAGTCTGAGCTCTGCTTTGGGTTAACTCTAAAAAGAAAATTTAATATTGCTCCTCCACAACATTAAATTAATCCAAAACTTCCTTAATATTTTAAAAAGAAAACCTAAAACACTGTGTTAGAATATTAACAACTTCAGCATGTAGGCAAATAAACAGTCAGTCAGTCAGACGTCAGCATAAAAAAAAAACGTGTTTCTAGTCTTGCCATGTGCCACAACTGTGCAATAAACAAAACAATAAACTTGAACCTCTGACATGCTCTAAATGTGATTTTAAAATAAATCCAGATCAGTGTGTGTGAGCTGCAGGGAGTGTTTTCAGCAGTGTGTTTTGAGTGCAGTGCAGGAGATGTCGTCTGAGATGCCAGTCCATCTCTGCCACTGCATTCTAGTCTTCCTTCCTGCCTCTGTCACTATGGTAACAGAGCTGCTACTGGCTCCTAGGGTCAGGCAGTGCAGCAATGAATAGCAATGAGAGATGAATTCTCACATTTACAGCAAGTAAACAACAACAACAACATCACCGCCGCACACACTTAAAGAATCCCGCCATCACAGATGCACTCATGCACACAAACACACAGGAATAATAATATGCAAACACACGCGGCAGAAAACGTCAACACACACAGTGGAAGCATTGGGAGTTTGTAAACAAATATTTCCTTTGTTCTTCTCTCCATATAAGGAACAAGCAGAATTTGAGTGTATACAGCAAACCTGTTTCTGCCTGCCTCCTCTCCCCAGAGTCTTCCCACATCATATCTCTCTCCATTTCCTCTCTTACCTTCCTCCATGTGTTCTCATGCACCTGTCTGCTCTTTGAGCCCTGTATGTCTCCTTCCTACAGTGCATATCAGCATCATTTTTGCTGCTGCTCTCCCTCCCTGACTCCTGTGTCCTTCAGTTTAGGAAACCTCCTTCCTCTCCCTTTCTCCTGCATCCTCACTCTCTGAGAGTTGGGTGATGGTTGATACTGACCTCTGAGTCTCCAACCTTCCTGTAGAACACTTCATACAGGATGATGAGGCCGTTCGGGGAGCGAGGTGGATTCCATTTGATAAACACATACGGAGGCTCGCCTGTCACTATCTCGTGGGTCACAGGGCCTGGGATGTCGTCTGCTTTCTCTGTAGGGATCGGACACAAAGACAAACACTTAACATGTGCAGGATAACACACTGCATTTTCACATTGTTGTTAGCTGGCAACATTTGTGTTTTTGGGGGGTGCACGTGTGAACTGATGATCATCTGTGGCCTTTCTAAATGCTTAATGTGCAGGGACATCTTTAGGGTTGTACCAAGTTTTATTTATATTTACTTGAATCTGAATCTCTTATTGAGATTATACCTTATTGTAGACATATTCCTTTAGCATGTATGCATGTATGAAAAGTCTAGTTTATCTATATGGCACATTTCTGCAAGAAGGTCAACATGTATAAGTCCCAGGCTATTGTTTGAGAGCCCTCCATTGGTCATGTATCATACATAGCCATATACATAGACCTTATGTGCTGGGAGTAACGCCATTCATGGCTGGTATGTACTTTAGTCTGATTAGTGTTTCTCAGACCCTGATGAAGACCTTGAGTTCATACGCATTGGACTGTTAGACTGCCTGTGCTCAAAGAATAAATATATGATATCATGAGAGTCTTGTCTACATTTATTTGAGACTTCTGAGGTCTTATTTTGTAGTTCTGCAAATAATACAATACTAATAATATTAGTGTAGCCTAATCTTTATCTGTAACTGTGCAGAACTTCCTAGGTCAAATATAATAAATTGACAAAATAAAGCTGTGCAGCAGTAACATGTGGATAAGAATTTGAATGTCAACGTTATGAATGAAGCTTTTAACTATTCGGTAGAGCCCTAGAAATGTCAACATGTGTCAGTATAAGTTGTTATAAGGCACATACAAGTGAGAGATCTGCATTTTGTCTTACCCTCTGGCATAGTTCGGGCACTGACGTAAGTCGCCATGCTGCAGCGTTTGAGGTCTGACGGATGGTTGCAGGCCATGATCTCTATCTTGTAACTGGTGAAGTGGTGCAGGTTGGAAATGACCGTCGACTCCTTTGAGAACACCTTCAGCTCCACCTGAGCGGAGAGGATGAAAGAGATGTGACTACTCCAACAATGTCATGGATTAATGAATACATTCAAGTCAAGTTTATATTTACTTGAGCACAATATGGTCAGTGTTTCATGAAGAATGTCATTTTCAGGAACAGGGACATGTTCTTCCTTTGCTTTCTTTCTGGTTGTGACATTATTTCAGACCAAAATCAAAACATGCTTTTAATGATCAGTAGGTAAAATAAATACCATGGATAAAGCCAAGGTTAAAATGAATTTACAGATTTGGAAATACATTCTTTGTCAGGGGACAGTTTTTACTTCTGGTTCCGCTGATTTGAGCAACTTGTTAATGCCATAAATATTCATTTTTTTTTATTTTACATACACATCTTAAAACTGGAAATCCAGAATGGGGAACAGCAAATGGTCAGCACATAGTTCACACAAAAATGATGTACAAAATTATGTATTGTAAACAAAATCGAAAGTGTTTGAGACCTTGGATCCTTCCTCGTCTTCGTCTTCAGGGGTGGCTGTTGTGGAGCCTAATGCCAGACTGGGGGCTGTGGTGAGGAAAAGAGAGGGAATGGTGGCGTTGGCAACTCCCACTGAGCGTCGGCGACGAGACGGTCTGGAGAAACAGAGCAACAGGTAAAGCAGTTAGCAGATGTCAGGTAAAATACCACTGAAAACCTGAAGGAAGCAAAGTTTGTTTTTCTCAGACAAGCCAAAACACAGTAATACATAAGTCAGATGAATATCATGTGAATCAGATCCTGGCAGATGGAGCAGCAGTGTGGAGGAGGCCAGCAAGGACCTCTGCTAACACTAACCTTTATAGTGTGCAACAAGTCTGACTGCGTGACATTTATCCACACACACACTACTGCCCTGCTGGAGGAGCTACCAACCCTCACCACTGGGTGGTGTCAATGAGCAAGCCCACTTTACTCTCAGTTGTTATGAGTGTAAGTCCACCACAAAGGCCATGACTCCTAAAAAAAGACCTGCAGTGTACCTCTACTTACGAACAGGTAGAACCTTTGTTTATAAATTAATTAACTATCTTCCTTCCTTCAAAACTAACCACAATTAAGTGTCCTTGATTAAAACACTTCACCCCAAGCTGCTGCAGTGACGCCGCTCCCTCACTGTACAGGGAAGTGGAGTTAATGTTGAACCAATGCTCTCTCAGGTAGGAGAAAAATAAGAAGCTTCCTGCATCCCTTTGCGTGACGGGAAAAGAGAGCACGGGGAGTTCTCTGTGTACTTCAGTGTATGGAGCTGACCTTGGCCGATTCAACAACATGGGTTCAAAATCCTGCTGAGGTGTGTGTTGAGTTTGAGTGTTTGTGTGCGTCCAAATGGCAGTCTGCATGACTGCTCCCCTGACTGGCATGAATGATAATGGGCACAGTAATCACTCCCCTAGGGAAGCAGAGGGAGAGACTGTGTGTGTGTGTGTGTGTCAGGGGAGAGGGTAGGGGCACCATGGCCCAGACAATCAGCACCTCCCACCCTAAGCCCCCCACAGTAGTGCCCTGTACAAAAACAAGGGTCTACATACACCACACACACACACACACACACACACACACAGATGGACGAGACAGAGTTGGCACGGAGCTGTTTTGAGACGGACATTACGGTGGCTGGGACAAAAGAGGAGTGATGGGGTCTTGGCTGGATAGAGGGGCTCTGGTGTTGCTGCTGCAGTGCCACAAACAGCAACTAACAAAGCAGGAAGCTCTTGTTGGGTGTTACGCTTGGTGTGAGAAAAACATCCTGTAATGTTAATGTATAAAGGCATTTTAAACAAACAAAGCTCATCAAAAGTTGTGACCAAACTGCTGTTCAGTGTGTGGCTTTAGTGTGGCCACTGTAACAAGCATGTTTTAGTAACACATGCTGCTGCCCCGCCCGTCTGCACTAATATAAGAGGAGCGGTAACAAGCACAGCAACTTGGATGTTGGACTGAAATTGCATTTTGGGCATCAAGTGCCATAAAAAAGGGGGTAAGTGCAACATGGAAATATGACAAAATGTGGAACTGTCATGCACAAATCAGCAATAACAATGTAACGTTAGCTAGCTAGCTAGTTGCTAACAAGACATCAGCATACTGAGTGATTTCTTTTGTTATGCTTGTAAAGAAAAGGACCATAATACATTGAAACGGCATTAAACTAAGATAATATGATGTTTATCGTAATTTTTAAATCCTAATTAATGAAGGAATACATATGTGGGTTTCTTTTGTTGCATGTACATCTTGCCCTACTCCTCTATCCCAACAAGAGTTGGGACACCCTATCCCTAAACATGAATGCACAAAACAGAGAGGTAAGGGCTAAGAGATATGTACAAGGGGTGTGTTGGGATGGAGATTTAATTACAATCCAGGATGTGTACCTGCTCTCAAAGACTTCATTGTGGAGGTAATTCTCGAAGGTCTTGCGGTACTCAATCTCCTCCTGCTCCTTCTTTAGCTGGTTGTCTGTCTTGGGGCAGGCGCAGCACCTTCCCCCTGACGTAGGCTCATCCGTCTGGTTCCACTTCTGCTCATCCTCGCTGTCCAGGTGGGTCGGGGTACGAGACGGCAGCTTCATCCCTGAGCAGGAGAAACAGGCGTGAGCGAAAGCCAGACAAACAAATGTAAAGTGAGCAGCAGCTGATTAGTTTGAAAACAGTCGCCTGGACGGATCTGAATGGATCAACCTGTAGATACTGACCTTGGAGGCAGTAGTCAAACTTGTAAAGGTCGCTGTCCTCCGCCTGCTTACGACAGATGACGCGGTAGTGGGTGATGTTGCCATTGGGACTGTTGGGAGGCTTCCACTTCAGGATGATCTGAGAGGAGGAGTTGGAGGAGGAGATGGGGTCCAGAGGCACAGAGGGTTCTGAGGAGGATGAAGAAAGACAACGGTCAGGACTGCATTGGTGTTGTATGACCTTAGGCCACGTTCAAACTGACTGTAGTCTCATGTAAAAAACGCAGCCCCTCATTTATTTGAATGGAGATAGCCTGGCGACACAGCAGGGGTGCCACTGCAGGGTCGTCCAGTAAAAAAGTTGAACCTATGTCATCCGACAAGATTCTGTGGTGGCCAATCAAAAACATGAATACATTACTAACAGATTGACTTGAAACACTGGATTCCTACTGTTTACCTCATCATCATCACAACGGAGCATAAAATGATTGCGGTAGTGATGTTTTCCCAGACAGGAAAGGTGGGGAGGGGGAAGTTTGCTATCAAGCAAACATGGATGTATACAATGCAGGGTTTAAAATAAGCAAAAAATGTTGCTAATGATTTATGAAGAAGGAAATGCATTCAGCCTGTTTGTTATGCCTCAAGGACAGACCAAATGCGTGTAAGTGAGGAAGACTAAATGTGAACATAACTGCGTTTGTTAACAGGAAAACTCCACCAGATACCTTTTAGCCAAGACAGTTAAAAGTCCAAAAATTGTGATCCTGTTTAATTTATTCATTGTGCAGTTGTGAAGTCAGATGTTCTCCACTGTCACTGAAACAGTCTTAATCAAATCCAACGTTGTAAACGGAGAACATAGTCTCGATAAAACAGGTGGAACTCACTGGAGGCATTGGTGCGGACGTAGATGATCTCGCTCTTGGCTCCATGCACCTGGTGCTCGTCAGATGCAGACAGTTGGGTTTTGACCATAATGGCGTACTGTGTCCAGGGCTTCAAAGGTCGGATCAGGTGCCCCGGATCCTCTGCTTTCTTGTTGTCCGTGGAACGGTTCGGAGGTTCAACATCAGCGATGGCCCAGCTGTTTGAGCCACACGCGTCCTGTCCATCAAACTCTGTCACGTTCTTATATGGCCTGGAGCAAAGAAAGATAGAGAGAATGGATCAACAACTTTAATTTAACTGTGAGAAGTACCAATGAAAATAATGTGGCAAGGTAAAGCATTGCAATTTTTATTTATATGGCACATTTTAGTACATATATACTTTGGAGCCGACCATCAAGTGCTCTAACAAATATAAGTAGCATTTTGAGGCTGGTTCTGCATTGAACTGGGAGCAATTTAAGCGTTTTAATTCCTGGAGTAAAGTGTTTTTGTGTACGTGTGAGACTGCTGTGGTCTGAATAAGCTGGAGTCTCACATTGTTTGTTTGGGTACTGCAGCAAAAATAGCTGACTAACCTGGCTGAGATAAATACATGAACCAGTCTCTGAGAGTCACCATCCTCTAACTTTAGATGTCTTTTTCAAGTGAGTACAAGGCGTACTGGTTACTTTACTGACATGACTTTCGGAGTTGAGTCCAAAATAACTCCAGAGACTGTGATTCTAGGCATGAAAACATTTACAAACATACGTCTCTGGTTTTTCAAACCTACTAATATCTCAGCCTTGTTTTTATTCAGCTGTAAAGAGTTCATGACATTCAGTCGTTGATACTGATACAGTTTACAAGCATGCTTTTGGGACTAAGACCATCGGAATACAGCTGTGTGTCATGTAGATGATATTATAGGATAGGATATGGACAAATTAAAAAGCAAAGGTCCAAGAACTGACCCTTGTGGGATCCCTGAGAAAATATTAAGGCCTTATCACGCCAAAGAGAAATCAACGAATTAGTGGCACTGGCCACGCCTGTGTCTTGGCCAAAAAGTTGCAGTTGAACACACCGCAAAGACTACAGTCAACAGCCAACTTGCACATATGTTCAGCGCCTGTGTAAGAGGAAATAACTGTATTCATACAAATCATATTTACTGTGTGGTAGTGAGGAGTAACACATTAAGAACTCTTTCTGCTAAAGATCTCACTGGCTAAAAATTTAATCTACTCAAATATAAAAAGTTTGTTTTGATCTCACACTCTCTTGAGTTTAGTTGGTTCTTTACTTTCCTCAATTCCATTTCTGTTCTCTTACACTGAGCTGTGCTGCCAATCAGAGCCGATTCAGCATACTGAATCAACCGGAAAAAAGCCGACTAGAGCCAACGGTGCGGGACACCTTGAAAACTAGCGGAAGGATGCTCACTGAAAGCCCAACATTGACCAACGGCTGACTGTCAGCTTGGTGTTTTAGGGCCCTTAATTTCAGGTTTAAAGGGAATGATAAACATAAATGTTCCACCACTGATGTAAGAAGAAAACCAGCTAACAACAGGACCTGTTGGACCGACTGAATCTTGCAAACAAGGCCAACTGTAATGTTTGCTCACTCTCATTTTATTTTGCTATAAACATTGGTACGTTTTATACAATGGTATGGGAAAATCCCAGGACTTCTGTCAGATACTTACGCCTCTTTGTAGAGAACCATAAAGCCCAGCAAGTCTCTGAAGTCTAAGGGCCAAAAGGACTCCCACTTCAACATAATCATGTTTGATGAGGTCTTGATCACGGTGAATTCAAGCAACTTGGTCTCACCTAAGGAATGAAACAGATGGTGCTCAGCACATGCCTTTGGTAGAAGAGCTAATGAACAGAACATCAAACAGCACTTCTGCACGAACAACAACATGTACTCCAGGGTTCGACAGTGCGAGCGTTTCACTCGCATTTGCGACTAAAAATAGGTGTGTGTGAACTGTAAAAAATATTTAGGGGCACATGTGCGCATAAAAAAATCAGCCGAAGCAGCCTATATTTTTGTCAATAAAAAAATATGATAATCTAACCGCAAATGTTGGAGGAACTCCAGCCGCCTTCCCTCTTCCCCGTGTGACACGGTTATGGGCGGTTTTCCAAGCCACTGTCGGCACAATGAATATCGTGCGCGACGCCAAGGGTAGCGGTGCCTCTTTGTCAGGCGTTGCTGCCCTCTCCATAGACAAACAATGGGACAGCCAGCACAAAGCAGTTTTACAGCTGATCATGTGTAGAGGTCTTTAGGGACCGTTCGCCACGGTACCACTGCTGGGCAGGGTGGAAATAAAGCCCTTTTCACACAGAGCGCGCAAAGCGCAGACCTCCGCTGACGAACCCATTCATTGTGTATGTGCTACCGCTCTGCCGCCGAGCTGAGCGGCGCACGCCGCCAGCCTGCGCTCGAATTGAATTTTTTTTTAATTTCACCGCAACGCGCTGTGACGACACCTTGGCGCCGCGCATCCAATAGCAGAGAAGAGCCTGAAGTAGACCCGAAAGCGGTCACCATGGAGCTGTAGCTCCTGAACGAGCCTGTACTCCCCCAAATCCTGTCCTCTGCGCCCTACCCCGTGGTGGGTGCCGCGAAAGCTCTGTGTGAAAGAGGCTTAAGTCCTGCAGAGTTTCAGAGGACCTGGAGAATGTTTTAGGATAGTAATAACATTATATAAGATAATCATATTGCAAAGATAATATATATAGGATAATAACATTAAAGACAAAATTAAATTGCAATACTTTTTCAAAACTTGATGATTTTACCTTTCTGTACATTTCGTATACAAATTCATTAAATAATTTTGCTTGTAAATGTCTATTTGCATCACGTTTATTACGGAAAACACATTATTTGATCAATTTATATTGTTCCCCTAAAGTTCTTTGTGCGCTCCTTACTTTTTCAACTTAGGAGCACATGTGCTCCTTGGGAAAAAAGTTAGCGTCAAGCCCTGTACTCTCAGCCTTAAAAGCCAGAAAGAGCAATGCTGAGGTGGCAAAAACAAAGTTACAAGTACAGACAAATCTAGAGCAGATTTAGATCATCTACAAAATTTTAAGATAAATATAATCAGCTGGCATAAGGTGGCGAACACCAAATGACAATCTCAAGTTCGGCAATCTGGCGATCTTACAGGAGGCTTGGTCCCCGTTGGTGCGTACAGCGATGTCGTTCTTTTGGTTGCGCTCCTTGGTTCCCGTTACCTCCTCCATCTTTTTGATTTCAGACATGCAAAGTTTGGAGTTGTAGTGGAAGAACATACGACCACGCTGGATGGTCAGGTTGTGCTTAGACCAATCCCACAGCTCACGCAGGTTCTGGTTGTCAAGCGCATAGAAGGCGAAGGTACTAAAAGAGACAGAGGGAAGGTAGACAAGAAAAATTAACACACAATGTTTAGTTTAATGTCTGAACTTGGAGAAGAAAGGAAAGGAGGGGGGAGAAGACTTACTCTCCCTCAAGATGTTCCCCCCTAATGATACGCAGTTTGCGGAGGAAGGAGAGGGAGACCAGGGCGTAGGCTCTGCGAACAGTCAGGTAGCCGGTGATTTCCTCAAGCTGGCCCAAACTAGCTTCCAACTCAGCTGCGATGTTGTCTGCAAGAAGACGGACATTTGGTCATACAGTCAGACAAACACACGTTTGAATGCACAGGTGGATAGACTTAAACTATATGGCTACAGAAATACTGACTGGATGGAGGGAGGAGACAGGCACAGTGTGCGAACCAGAGCCTCTACATGAGGCCTAGCAGGTGCTGAGGTGTAGTAGTACTCACTTCCTCCTCGAATCTTGATGATCATGTTGCCGTGCAGAACAGTGCAGCCTCTCAAAGCCTGGGCTGAAGTTACAGAGTCGATCGTCTTGTTCCCCACACACAGTTTAGGACACAGGCCTGCACATGGCGAACAGGTCAACCTACACAGACAGACAGAAAAAGAAAGAGGTACAAACAGATTAGAGTCATCAACACACAGACATTAAAAAAAAAAAATAAAACTTGTGTGTTAATGCAGTAATTAGTGGCTGATGATACAGTGGGCAGAGAATCTTATTGGTGCAGATCAGAACAGATAAGTGAGATCATAACACGAGTTTATTCAAAAAGGGATCATTGTGCTCGAAATATTCCAAAGCTAAAAAACAACCCAGAGGCTGCGATGTTACTAAGAGCTGACAATTGATGTCACAATCATTTCAAACACGCTAAACTTAGTGTCAGGACACTGAGAAGAGCACAGTAATATTTAATAGTAGTGCCTTAAATAGAAGTAAACAACAAACTGGTTTTTCAGAGAGAGAAAAAAACCCCACAAATGCTTCCGTGTGCAGATTTCAGAACAGGAATGACGCAGAACTGAATGGTATGAGGCAGGAATGCTAAGTGATGTACTGGTGTGGCGTGGGTTGGGGACTGGGGATGACATGGCATTTTTAAACAGGGCTGAATCTGTTTATTGGAGTTTAACTGGGATACATTTCTCCTACTAGCTGGAATCTGTTTGGATTTTGATGTCCAGGTAGTGATCTGTCTTTATGTTTAGAGTTTGTTTTGTTCTGAATGTCCTCTGCCTTCTATAAAGAGCAAATAAAACAAATATGTGTATTAAACCTACATTATGTAACTTTCTGCAGCTAGGAGTAGGAGCAGTCAAAACATTCACAAAAGGCAGAACAAAGCCATCATTGCAGTTTCTCCCTGTTAGGATTCCTTTAGTCTCATTGTTTTTACCAGGAGCCAAAACATCCACAGAGGTCTCCTTTCAAAAACAAATGGACCAGGTAGTTAAAACCAGAAAATACACCGAATAAAGCAGTTTCAGGTCAAAAATCAGTGCTTCTCTGAGGCTGTTCGCCTCGTCAAGTAGGGCTGCTCGCCCAGCACCTGCTAATTTGTGCTCAGTTTTTTCTCTGATAACTTAAGATCAAAATGTTCAAGAGGTTTTTACTGGGAACAGAATTATCCAGAGAGGTCTCTGATTCTCCAAAACAACCAGACCTGGTGATTTAAACCGGTAAAAACACTCAATGGAGCAGTTTCATGTTAACAATCAGTGTTTCTCTGACACAGTTTGGTAGAGCTGAAGTCGAACTACCGTTAACGTTTGATCAGATGTTTCTCTGATAACTTAAGCTCCAGACGTCTGATGACGAACGTCCTTCATCTGTTTAAACATATAGCTAAAAATGACCAAGATCTAAAGAGTGTATTGCAAAATGTGGCTGGATAATCAAGAGAGGATAGCAGAAGAAACACCCGCACACCAATTCCACTGAGCTGGACAGCCACAAAAGAGGTGTGCAGGTATTTCTTCTGCTTATCCTCTCTTGATTTTCCATTGTACCGACGCACTCAAGACGAACTTTTTGTTGCCCTAAATAGGCGCAGTTTCACAGCAGCGCTAAGACTTAAAGCTGGATAACAAATCAATTCATGACAGCTTCTTGCAGACAACATAAAGGGGATGTGACGCCACAGACCGAATGATTAATAACAGATTCCTCTGGATTTGAACATTGTTGGAAATGTTTGGCACAATGTAAGAACACAACTCACTTTCTCAACTTTCTAATAACCAATGTGGGAGCAAGATGTATGAAGTTTTTGCTACAACAACTAACTAAATATCAGCAACACTGAACGTACAGTTTCTCAAAAGAGAGACAATCAAACAGAGCCTTGCAATTGAATGAATGAGCTGATGTATTCAGAGGTGAATCTGTATAATTCTCTCAATTAATTTGATAAGTCCCATAATGAATCCATAGGCTTTTAGGAGTTGAATTAGATTACGCAATCTCTCATCCACATCTGAGCCTCCTTCATTTTTATTAGCACTGGGGGATAGAGGAGAAAGCGTACGCATCCTTTGCTTCAATTACGTCTGTCGCACATACAACACACACACACACACACACACACACACACACACACACACACGGAGCACAATCACAGACAACAAAAACAACATGACTGAAACACCAGCTGCAGTTCCCAACAGGCATTCCTCTGTTTCTCTCTCTCAGCTCCATGAGTGGCGTCCTCTCCCTACAAACATGTGCTTGTGCACATAATCTCATACACACACACATACACTGAGTAATGAGGCCTTGATAGTGCTGCCTTTCAGGAAATTCATTCACAAAAGGCAGGCCTTGTCTAGCGAGCAGCCGGGTACACGCCACGCGGAGAAAAGGGACCCGATGCTTCATTCACAAATGAGCACTTTTTTTTTTTTGAAGCCCTCTCGAAAGAACATAATCCCTCTCTTTAATTCCACTTCCAGCTTTGACATCCCTAACCACAAAGGTCTGCCTCAGACATAAACTTAAACGCCGCTTTTTGGTTGGTCGGCTGCGAAACCTCAACATATTGCTCCTAACACCACTGAGTGATAGCTTCCCCCACCCACCTACGTTTTTTCAGAGCGCTGCTCAAGAAAGCTGAGTCAAAATGATGTTTTCTTGAAAAATGCATCCACAAATGAGACGAGGGCAGGGGGATGACACGGGTTCACTAGAATGGATTCTGAAGCAGTCCAATCAGGGTTTCAAAACTCAAAGTAGAGGAGACAATGACATCAAACAGCAGCCTTAACAGGCACCTTTTTAAAGCAGCCCCTGTGCCCGGGGAGCAGCTAACAAAGGATGCTGTTGTTCGCTGCGGGGACCATGCAAGCTCTGCATGAACTGCTATTTGTAAGCTCACCCCGACTTAATTCTATGTTTATGCAACTCTTATTATAATCCCCCTCTCCAGGAAGCACACACACATACACACACAGTCTTACCGAAATTGTGCCCCTACTTTCCCCCTAAACAGACAGGCCGTGCTATAGACGCCATTCACCATGGTGACATGAAACACTGAGTCCCAGGGGTGTTGTTTTGGTCCTTGTCTGGCCTTTCCTACCCACCCAGAGAGAGCCAAATGATCCATTACACACCTGGCTTCTCCTAGTTTCCATCTTATCAAGCTCTTAATAATTCACATCAATCAGAAGCCAAATCATTGTTTCCCCTCTATGACTTCTGGGTGAGTGGAAACACACTGTAACGATCTCTCAAAACAACAGTGAGAAAAAAAAACAAAAAAAAACCATGGATATTCTGTGTGTCTCTTTCTTTCTCCCACATGGAAAATCGTGTATTCAGCTTCTCAAAAGTAATGCTCTAGTTGCAGTGTAGAAAGAGAGAATGTTTTGGGCCGTTGTACTGAAAAACACAGACACACAGGCAGACAGGCTGGGTCCAACGGCAGCTCTTAAAGGGACAGTGTTTATCTGTGTCCGGCTGAACTCTGTGACTCGGGCTCCAGGGTCTGCTAGAACCATCTACAGAGGCCGCAGCTGACGCTCGGTTTGGTGTCGGGCCCGGGCCTGGCAGAACCAGACCAAGTGCACTCACTCACTCACTCACTCACATACACACGTACACACACACACACAGCTGTACGACTGTGCTGTCACAGGGTCCAGGAAAGATGAGCAAAGTCTTTTCAGTAGATGTTTGTGACAGCCAAATGTCAAGAGAGCGCAGCTACCTGTCTGAAGAGACAAGACAGACACAGAGGGAATATATCCAAATGAAGAACACATGTACATGCTTAGAACATGCACTATAATATTACCGTAGTAAGTATACTATTTTTCATATCATGAAATGGTTCAGAAACATCCGAGGCTCTTCACCTGATTGTTTCCGTGTCAGTTTTGATCTTATTGTGACATCTGGTTCCTTTTGTATGCGCATGCTAATAACTTTACATACTAAACATCCAGACTAACATTACAAATATTTAAATTTGCATAACACTGACGGACGCCAGAATTTCACTATTTATTGGCATCACAGAAAAACCACAATGCAAACCTTTTCCCCTACTTCTTGTCAGTCCTCATAGCTGTGTGTGTACGTGCGTGAGTACTCATATGTACAATGTGTGTCGTCTGCCCGACTGTCTGCGTGTGTGTTTGTGTGCGTGTCTGTCTGGGAGTAGCTTCTGCCAGGCTAAGCCACTGTGATGATGCTTGTTCTCGCTATAACCAAACCATAGCAGCAAAACAGACGCACAGGAGCCCTGATGTTGCGACTGCGTCAGAATACCAATGAAAAAAAAAAAAAAAGAAAAGTCTTGTTTATCACATAATGTGTGCACACATACATCTATACGCAGGCACACACACATAAACAAACACATACAAAGGATGCCATTCTGCCTTGTGCCTCAGGGTGTATGACTGAGACTTAAAGCAATGTTCTTTTCTGTCTAAGCACCTGATAATCCCTGCAGGCTGGCAGCATTCAAGGGAAAGTCAATCTCACACACACACACACACACAAGATACATTTTGCAGAAAGTAATGTTCCTTACTCTTTCCGCTGGGTGTACTAAAGCTCCGTGCACGTGAGCGTGTGTTATTTACCTAATAAATATATCTCTGTATACATATAAACCTCTCTCTATCTGGACACAGTGGACATTTCCCCCAGCCTGCACCTGGAAAAAGCAACCCGACCAAACGCTTTACTGGGAACGAGCTAATGTAGTCACAAACACGTTCGGCACACACAAACACTCGGACGCACGTACGCGCACGCACATACACACGTATACGCGAAAACATGCACGTACACAGGTATACCAGAGACACACAAACACCATCAATCATCCAGCCACCTGCGGCTTCAAGCGATGCAGACATCTCCAGCACACAACCTGCTCTTATTAGAACAAACTCAGAGAAATACACCTCTCTGTGCTTCTTTTTTTTTTTTTTTTAACCCGCCCTCCATCTTTCTTCCTTCTCCACACTCCATTAACGTCTCTATCTGTGTTCACACCAGCAAAAAGTGGTCTCGTACTCATCTATCGCAGCTTTAACACACATGAGTACTACTTCTTGGTATGTGACTTGGCATATGATAATGTTTTTAAATTGCCTGGCAGCTCCCGCGGTAGCTGTTTGGGTAGATTTGCCTAGCCGCAAACAGACAACAGGAGTGTTACATGCGGGGTCTGAAATTAGCACCCGCCACCCGCCAAATGCGGGTAAGTTATTGGCAGTGGTGGGTAAAAATCGCCAGGCAATCTGCCACTTTGGCGCACAGGAAAATGAACAGAAAGACATGTTTGGTAAGGTTAGTGTATGATTGGACAGGATTATACATTTGAAAGTTGCTTGCAACTGCTATATGAATGCAACACTACTGGATGTAGAACCTTACTTGTTTTGATTAATGGTTGAAGTTCACCAAATTCTGACCAATAACCAACAATATAAAGACGCCAACACGCACACCCACTCACTGTATCTACATTACTACCTCACAAATCAACTTTTTTTGAAAGAATAGCTCTGTGCGAGTGTGTGGTTATGATTTTCAAAAGTGGCAGATGATATTCATGAGTGGCAGACAATAAAAAAGTGGCAGGTAGTGAAAAAAGTTCATCACAGACCCTAATTACATGCATCATGTTTCTACTAGAAACGTTTTATCCTCATTGCCCACACCTTGAGTATGTCTGTGTTTTAAAAGCATGCAAACAGCAGAGGTTTCAAACACACACTTCACCTACTAACAAATAAATGTTCTCATTATTTGGCAACAGCAACTGACGCTAGACGAGGACGCCGGCGATGCTCCTCTACTCCCGTTTACTACAAGTAAGAATGCTAAAAAAGGTCATGCCCTTGCTTGTTGCACATGTAGACAAAGCTGTGTGCTAAACAGGACCAGGTGAGGTCCAGACAGTTTTTGATGTTGCTTTTACATCCACGGCACCTGGCTGACACTTTTATCCAGAGAGAATGCACAATAAGATAAGAGGTTCTGTGTGCTTAAGGACAAATGTCTTTAACGGGGATTTGGACCTTTGATCTTTCACCTGCGTACTTTTAACCACCTTAAACGCTGAGCTATGCTGCTACTACAGAGCAGCATCCAGCCATGTCAGTGAACATGACATGAAATCCTGACGATCAATCAATGATTCTTGTTACTAATTTGCTATTATTTCACATGAAATTATCTCATGTGAGTAAACAGGTCCCAGACAGCCTGTTAGGTTGAGCTCAGTTTTCTGATGAATAATCCTTTCAATAGGAAAATAATTGGCTATTGGTGCATAAAGACCTGGGCACATTATCTCACCCCACTGCACCCTTGTACGCTGTTTTCAAAATAATTAACACTAAAGCATGATTACTCTCTGTGCTGATAAAAACTGATTTCTGTACGCAATGTAAAATCCAGTTTGAGATAATAATGCATTTAATCTGCATGTGTGAATGTTTAAAAACTTTTATAAACTGCTGAATTTGTGCTTTAATGTCAGTTTGGGAAGGCTCAGACTTGATGCAGCTGTGTAATCACTGAGAACAGAATGTGATGGAGGCTGTGGAAACACACCAGGGACTCATTTATGGCAATTGAGATTAGAGGACTTATTTGCATGACATTAAATGGTCTTGTGCCTATATGGCAACTTTGTGTTTAGAGCTACTGAGTAACTTCTCATACCATTATTAAGTGACAAAACAGAAATTAGAACCAACCTTATTCTGAATTACGAGAAGGTGGTCTTTCTTACGGGCTACTGATCGTAAATCTTACACCTGCATGTTGTAACGGCTAAACAGCGCTGCTTACATTTGACAAACAAAGCCAAACAATGACGCAGGTGATGTTTTGCCCTTATCTTTGCACCTCTGCTTCTCCACAGATGAGAGACGACTTTCCATAGTGGAAAACGACTCCTGCCTTTTTGTTTGATCAACTTCCAAACACCATCACCTCTTGTGTGCAAATGTTATTGAGTGTGTTGGGTGACCACAATCCACTTGTTCTGCTGAATTCACGTAGGGACAGTTTGTTGTGGGTGACAGTTACATCTCCGATCATGTAATGATGGCCGCCATCATAACACGGCAGTGTTTATGGTGGCATTAAAGGTGTGTGGGTGTGTGTGAGCCAGACGTACGTAGTGGAGTTGATAGTGGTGTATCCAGAAGGACACTCTGGGATACAGGCCCCATTGTGGATGACGTATTCGTAGCAGCCAGACTCCCGGTCCTGGTTCAGCTTCTTAGTCTGCCTACACTGATTGTGGAGCTCCTGGATTTAGAAAGAAAGGGATTTCACATATTAAATACGTACGTCTAAACCAGTATGTAGTTTACTGGGTCTACATTTGTGCTAAATATTATGAGTTAACCTCAAGAATTGCAGCTGTAACCCACCTGGCAGAAGGAGAAGCTGATGCAGCGCCAGCCCCTGAAGACGTAGTATCCAGCAGGACATTTCTCCACGCAGGTATTGCCATGCTGAAGGTTCCTGCAGGCCACACAGCTACTTGCATTACCCGACTCCGAACAGCCGCCCAGGCACTGGTCGTGGCAGCACTGGCCCTGGAGGCTACACGCACCATGCTTACAGTTGTCCAAGCACACTGAGGAGAGACAGAAAGTGAGGAGAAACAGGAAAGAGGTGGTTAATATCAGGTTTGATACACGTGGACTCAGTCACGTTTTATTTTGACCCCCACTATTATAAAGACTGTGTTTATAACCTCTTCTGGTTTCGCTGGCATTTAAAGACGAGTGGGAGCGCAGTGGGACTTAACCAAAGTTCACAAAAACACACAAATACTCTGCAGCAGCAAAGTAAAATAAAAGCAACATATAAACAGCACAGGGCAGCATGTAGGCAGGGATATTTCTCCGTGTCTAAGTCACACTGTGTTGCATTTAACGGCTCACAAAACGTTAAAACAAGGAGGGGCGGAGAGAGCAAAACCCTGTGGTCAAAATGGCCACCAAGTGGTGGTTTGCTCTGATCTGAGAGCAGCGAGGGAAACACATGCATGTAAGTACCCACACATGAACATGGCTGCATGAACTATAAACAGGTGTTCTCGGCGAGGCCTTGTGGTCTCTTGTTGCCTTTTTAGTGTGTTGTTGCTGCGGTCGCTCAAAGAGAAAATGGAAACGGTGTGCAGCCATCAGAGGGAACACAAACCTGCGACTGGAACACTTGAGCCTCACAGAAAGATCAAACAGATTAATCGATTAGTTTTAAATATATTACATGAATCACCAACTAATTTGATAATCAATTACTCAGTCTGAGCATTTTTTTTTAAGAGAAAAAGATAAAAAATCTCTGATTCAAGCTTCCGAGATGTAGATATTTTCAGCGTTTTTTATTCGTCTATGTCAGTAAACTGAATATCTGTGGGTTGTAGACAGAACAAGACATTTGGGGACGTCATCTTGGGCTTTGGGAAGCACTGATTTTCACCATTTTCCAGCATGTTGTAGACTAAACAATGGATCAACTACTCAAGAACAAAAAGACAACAAATTAATCGATAATGAAAATAATCATTGGTCGCAGCCATATCCCAAATGACCCCCCACATTAATGTATACACACAGAACACACATAGAATTGCATGACCTCCTCTTTGTATTCTGTGGTTTTATTACAGTAAAAACATCCCTGCTGACCCATGAGGTTGTCTGAAATTTCATCTTCATTTGCAGAAAAGCACACGATCAGACAAACACTAATGTGCATTCAAGAACACAATCAGATGATGCACACCTAGCATCTCTGAGACACTGTCCACAATTCACGTCTGATAGTCAACAGCGCCAGTCTGCAGTGCCATAGAAACAACCCTAATTGCAAATGGGCTGAACATTATATGCCATTGGCTTATGTCAGGTTTCATTTGACCTATTGCGAAACAGCATTTGGAGAAAGAGCCTGAGTGTCAATTGTGATTGGATTAGCAGTCTGGTTTGACCCGTACCCTGTAATGATCTAATAAACTAGCTGTTATTGCCTTGTCTGAGGGCCAGTAGAGACTCATTACATCTCACTTTATACCAGCCGCTGACCTTTTTACCAAGTACACGTACTGAGTGGGGGCAAACAGGATAGGAAATCACCATAATGAGCTATGTTTACTGAAGCTGTAAGTTCATTCACTTTGGCAGGTAGAGAACATCAGCCATATGTACAACAAGTATCCTGCGCTGGCAACGCTAGTGAAAACACCAAAGAAAATCAGTGTTTCAATCTCTCCTTTCTTTGGGATCCACAAGAGAAAACGGCAAAATATTTAGGCCATATCTGACCTCCGACTGGGTTTCCTGTCCATGACCCTGTGTGTTAATCACCGTCTCTCCCCATGTTTCTCACTATACTGTCAGCTTTGATATTGTGTGCTAACTGAACCAAGCAGCATCAGGGCAAGACATAGATCTAGGTCAAATAACAAGCTACAAACACTTTTTTCAGATGATCTCACCCTGCTTTGAGTCCCATATAGGTGGAAATTCACAGCATCAATGAAAGAAAAAGTCTGCATTAGAGTATTTCTAAAATCACCACTGTCATGGCTCCCCAGCAGCTACAGAACTGGAGGAAAGAATTTTTAGAGCAGTGCATCACACTGTTTTAAAGTGCTTTAAAGTGCAACGAGGGCACTGTATGCCAGCCTTTGTGGGATGCCACCTCTGTGAGGACATCACATGAGCTCTCACTGCCAAGGATACAGCGAGGACCCCCCCTGCACGGTAGGGCTGCCCATTGTGCTGCCTGAGTAAAAGCAGAGAGGACAGACGGGGTTGTGGCGGGGGGAGCAGAGGGGTGGGACAATGAGGTTAAAGAAAAGAATAATGACGAAGGGGACAGGGGGTCAAACCGGCGGAGAAGGGGGATGACTATTGTATAAAAAACATAATCTCCATCCTTCTGGGGTAGTTCATGCAGGGGTCGCTCCACTACATTTTCTTTACTATGAGCTAGTAAACCCACTGCTGCACATAGTCGTCTCTGACCCACAGAGGAAAAATGCATCGCTCTTCTCCAGCCCTCCCCCTCCCGTCTGTCTGCTGTGTATGTACATGCTGTGACCACGGCATCGCATAACAGAGCAGGGAGGGCTGAGACAGCTCGCGGATCCAGCTCCAGCTCCAGTCGAGGATCCATGCCGGAGTGCTGCTCCATCCCCAGATCCACCCTCAGCTTCAGCCAATGTGTTTGCTGACTGGGGGAGGCAGCCATTCAATGGCCTCTTCCATGTCAGGGAGGAGAGACGCCCAGGGTTAACCCTGGCCTTGCTGGGGCAGACAGGGGGCAGACGCAGCCAAGCAGCCAGCATGCCAGGGAAGACGAATCTACTGTTGCTGCTTTGGTTGAATTACAATGAGCTTAAGATCGGAGCAGGGCCAAACCAGAGATAGATAAATCCATTCAATTCAGGGTCATGAGAATCTGTTGTTTACATCCCTCTGTTATGTTAAGAGGCACGTGCAATAAATCAATACACAACCTCTGTTTTTTATTCCATCTTCCTGTTATTTTCTTTACTAATCGGAGGTATAGTTACCCTTCTCCTCTCCTGTTTTTATCTGATCCCAGCACAGCGCTCTCAGCAGGGAGTATTATAGTAGCATAACACCACTGCTGCAGCAGCATTATTCCCCATTCTGCTCACGCTAGCGCCGGGCTACACAAGCTAGCTGCTATGCCAAACATGCTCCAGTCAGCTCACTCATTCATTCATCCCCTCCTCCTCCTACTCCACTGTCCTCTTCTCTCTCCCTCCTATCCGCCACAGCCTCACCCTGCCCTGCACCACTATCTATCTCTCTATCTGCCTGCCTGCCTTTCTAGGCCACTCAACCCCTCCCACTTTCATTCATACAACGCCTTGTTTTGTTTTCATGCTGGCTGCTGGATGGGGGGATGGAGGGAAGAAGGCATGGATGGAAGGATGATTTCACTCATGCTTCAACAACAAGAGTAGGAGGAGGAGGCGGTAGCATCCTGGAGAGCTTATCTCTCATTAAGCTAAACACACACACGTACACACACGTAAACCTCACTGTGTCATTCAATAATTTGCCTGCCGCTTCCTTACACACACACACGCAGAGTTCCAGTAAGGGTTTTAAATGCAAAGCCTGATCAAAGGTGTGTTGTGTTTACCTTCCATTTGGCTGGGGCAGTAAAGAGCTGTGGCTGCTCAGTCCCCAGGGAAGGAACATGGGAGAAGCTGGGCAGCCAATAGCGTGCAGCCACACACGGCAACACTTCCTGCTCTTAACACATAAAACCTCCCTTTTAATTGGCACTGTTGTCTACAGGCGAAGTGCTGGGAACAATAACAAACACGTTTTTACCCCAGAGCCATTTACTCAGGAGAACGCATGCACACACACACACACACACACACACACACACACACACACTCATCCACCCTCTCTCTCTCTCTCTCTCTCTCTCTCTCTCTCTCTCTCTCTCTCTCTCTCTCTCACACACACACAGCTGCTGGATTCACGTTTACTATATTTGGCCACGGTGGGAGTCCTAAGCTTCAAAAGCTTTGCTATAAATGCTTCGAGTGATCTGATGTAAGACATTCGCCCTGAGAGAGTCGAGGATAGAGACGGGGGGAGGGAGTGTAAACAAAAACACACTGATTGCTGGGAGGGAGAGAGTGATACTGTCATTAGAAGCGTCAACATGCATGCAAGCAAGCGCAAGCATACACAAATACAAATACACTGAAGCAAAGGTCTGTTGGTGTTCATTGTTATGGCCAAAAGGAAAGTAAGATAGGGGGGGAGTGGAGCGGGAATAAGGTAAGGGAAAACAGAGGAGCTAAACAGAGGGAGCTAAACTGTAATGTAGAGGAGGAAAGGTATAAACCATATCAATAATCATAATAAAAGTAAAAGGATGGGAACATGTTAGGGTTCTGATGCATTTTTCCAATTCAAAATGACACAGTTTCCTCCCTATGTACGCAAAAGTTTTACTCGAACCTGGACAAAAGTCCTCACAAGTGGTTTAACAATATGTGATCTTAATATTAAATCCCATCATTACCCATCTATATTTAACTTATCTGAATTTAATTTATGTATTGAGCAAAATAGCCCCCTCCTATTATTATAAGCCCCACCCATCCCACGAGTAGTTCAGGGGCCAAACTCAGAACTGCAGGTTATGTGTGACGTCCTCAGGAGAAATTTTCCTGAGCATCATGCATACTCAAAAAGTCCATCAGCCATATGTAGGTGTTTAAATTCCACCCAGAATCAAATTAAACTAGAGAATATTTTTAAATAGTTGCTTGGTGCTGAAGACCTGAAGCTGAACGAACTGTGGGATGGGCAGACAGGAGCTGAACTGTGCTGCTGGCTTAACTTTGGAGCAGCTGAAGGAGACAGAGTTGGAATAATAAGAAAGGGCGAAAGGGGACTAAATATAGTGTAAGCAATGCAAGGTGTTGAAACAAGGGTGATAATGTAAGGACTTAAATGAGCTTAAGTGTACGCAGAGGGAGTTGAGGTGTCATTCAAGTGTCTTAGTTGGAATAAGGGTGAACTATCAGCTGGGGTGTGAGACCTACAAGCACTGCTATGTACT